CGCAGTTTCAAGCAGGGTATCCGGTCAGCGTGGAATGGTCGTTTTACTGGATGAGAAAGAACGTGACAACAGTCAGTGCGAGCAGGTATGCTGAAATTGTCGCCGTACCCCCAGCTGAAACAGAGTAGTGAACCGATTATGGTTCATGTGTGAAACAGATGTTTATATATGTGAAATATATCTGTATCAACCATCGGTAACAACTTTTTCACTGTCATCTTCCCCAGTTGCAAGAGAACAAGTTCAAATGATCGTAGAAGGTGTTTCCTTTGCATAACTCAGAGGCTTTATCAAACTTTTAAAATACATAAATCCAGCTATAAACAGTGCCTTTAGCCTTTTAGAATTTCAAAATGAAATTGTTTTCTTTCCATAACAAAAACGAAGAATGACATTACGATCAGGTGAACGAAGAGCATAACTCAACAACGACTTGTGTTTTTACAATAACCATTTCTCAGTTGTTACTTTTTTATTTTCAGAAATGTTTATCTTTTATGAATATTGTCATTTCGGTTGAAACAGGACTCATGTGTATATAATAATAATCTTTGTTAAGAGTGATCTCACTGTCCCGCTATTCAAGTGTTAAAGGTACAGCCATTCAACACTATACACATAAGCATTGGTTAGAACAATTAACCGGTAGCTCTTTTTGAATACTTGAATCGAAGATATCAGAGATGCGGGGGTATTCATGCTTATTACATGTAACTCGTCAACAGGTTTTCATTAAAACTCTATAATATCTATAGACAACGGGGCGTTTTAACTACAGTAAGGCCAGAAATGCTTGGAAAATGCTTTCCGGCAATTATTTGATAATGGTTGATATTTCAGATTCCAAACTCATATATAATCATTCATACCACCTCGACCTAATATGGCATATGAGTAATCACGATGTACCATTCCCTAATCCTAATGATTACTCGAAAAACTTAGAAAAAAGTCCATGGGAGAAACACTTCAAAGAAACAAACTATACTGTGACCCACCAGGCAGGCAGACATGGTGACAGCGTTATGTAACGCACGGGCGGTGCATGTCAGGGACCGTCTCAAAATATCAAGTGTCAGTATCACTGCTGGTCGAGAACTCTAGCGGAATTACAACAGGTGCAACTCGGCTGACGTTAACACCGTCCCGCAGACGGTATTCGTCCTCGATTTAAAGAACACGGCATTCAGCCTTTTGCCACACTTATGGGGTAATTCTCGCAAATGTTGCACACACCAGCTCTTTAACGTCTGAAAGGTTGAATGTGCAAGCAATACAATTCTTACAGTTACCCCAGATCAGCTCGATGGGACTGAGCTCACAGTGCCGTACTGGTGTACGCAGAACTATGTGGCCTTGTTTTGCAGCTTGTTCGTCAGTGATGTACTGGATTGGCTTTTTGTGCTGCCGGACTTTTTCCATGAGCTGGGGCTTTGTTTCTGATTGCCTGTAAGGCACGTTACAGGAAGTGAAAAAATCCTGCAACTGAGCCTTGGGATTGCTCATGGTGGGTGTGATGGTACCAGGGACACGCAGGTTATTGTAAGTGGCGTTATCCAAAATGATAACGCTTAGTTCGTCCAGCTGCGGTAAAAGCTGAAGTTCGAACCAATCCAAAAATACCTGCCCATTCCTTTCGCTATGGTAATCACCATCAGATTTCTTGGCCTCAAAACAAAGTCACAACCCCCATTCAGTCCCTTGCTAAGGGTACCAGCATGCAATATGATCAGGCGTCTACCTTTGGCTGATGGTTGAGTGATTTTTATTACACCAGGTTTCATCAAGGTATATGATTTGAAACCCCAAATTGCAGTATTCTTCAACTGTTCTGAGATAAGGTGATCGCATGGACAGGATTGTGTACTTTTCTCTAAACACAGCTCTGTCATCTCCCCTTTCGGTGTACCTGAACCCCATTTCTACCAGAGCTACAATAAGTGTTGTTTTCGAGACATTTATTGTATCTTTGATCTCATCTTGTATTTTAGCACACGTGGGTGGGATTTTGCGTTCATACAGTTTATAAACTGCACGGCGTCTGACACCCTTATCAAAGCTATCCAGTTTGTGTTTCCTACCTGGTTTTGATTTCGACACGACCCCTGATGTAACTGATTTGTTTACAACTTTGTAAACCTGACTATATGTCAAATTAAGGGCTTTACACATTCTATAGTAAAGCCTGTCATAGCTGACGAGAGGTTTCTCCCTTTGTTTCTCCAGTATGAAATACTGGTATAAATTTGAAATTAATTTTTCTGCAGAGATATCAAGTCGCATGTTGCCAGTTCAATGCTTATACACGAAGTGAAACTCCTATGGGTCAACAAGATTATCTATGCGATTTGAATTAAGACTTTTTTGCGTAATTATTTTGAATATAACTACTACAGGAGTTCCATCTTTTTCGCACCAGATGTAAAAAAAACTAAACAATTTACAATTTACAATCATTTATGTAATTTAATTAGTTGAGGCTATATGAATAATTAAAGTTTGTATTTCAAAAGTACAACTTGTACTATATTAACGAATGTTGTTAAAACGTCCAAATTTCCTCCTGTGAAGTCACCCCTCAAGTGCATTTTTTCATCTGAGCTTTAATATCCAACTAGGTAGAGTCGTACATGTATCATATATGTGCTTTTATCTTGTGTCAAATTCATCATATTGATATTGAAGCCAAAAAGCATTTTCCAATCATTTCTGGCCTTACTGGACAACATATTTCATTCTGGTTCGAAAATATAGATTCATGTAACAAAATAATCTCCATAACCATCATACGCCAATGCACGAGAACAGTCAGCCTCTTATCACAGAAAAACATAACGCCTGCTCCCATCCTTAGAACATACACCCTTGGCGAATATTTCCTCAACGCATTGTGGCGCTGAAGCTGTTTACAAACACACATAGATGAGGTTTTGGAAAGAAATAGTATATTTGTATTGTTTTTGTGCAGCTGCATGTGTCCAATAGTCTCATGATCACCTATGCGATTCGTTTTTGGAAGAGTGTACTACTGCTGTTGTTGCTATTACTACCACTGCTACTACGACTTCTACTGCTGATGCTACTATCATTACTGAGGGTTGCCGTTAATTCTAAAAAAATACCATCCATCATGCTTATAAGTTATACATGTATTACAATTACGCCAACATAATAGTAATTGCACTCAAATATCTTTATGATTATCATAAACAATATATAAATGTTAGCATCAGATTCGAGTAACCACTAGTTAGTGACTTGCAGATTTCGCTTCCATAGAAACGAAACACATTAACCTTTGTATCCCACATATTCCTATGTGACAGAATCTACATTGACTATTGTCAGCAAGTATTGTTTTCGAGTAAATTCTTTCCTCGTTCACATTTTCAAGATCGTCCCTGACGATTTCCTAACAGACAGGCCAGCAAGATTTCATATACCCTCTGTTGCATTGTTAATTATCGTGATACTAACCTGCAATATACTTTAGTAAAGGTACAAACGGAAGACTCTTCCCCATTTCCATCCAAACATTTTTGTTTTGGATTCAGACGAAGGTTTCGTCCCATTTTTCTTTCGTTCGTTTCGTTAAACACATTTGACGTTTGTGGTTTATTTTCGTGAAAGATTGATGGTAGACTAACTGGACTGCGGTACAACAATGCCAGAAAGTAAAAAAGTGAATACATTTTTACCCGAGCAAGTCTTTCCATCTCCAGTATAGCCAGATCTGCATTGGCAGGTGTAGGATCCATTATTATTAGCGCAGTTAGCGTGGTCATCGCAGTCATGTTTGTTGGTACCAGTGGTGGTGCATTCATTGATATCTGGTGGAGAGAATACATCGAGACATGTACTTTGATGGTATGAAAATTGTAAATACAACAGAATTATACGCACTGATTCACTCCAGGGTAACCCTAGGGGACATACAGATATCTCTCTTCAACAGTGCACTCGCCTTCACCAATATTTGAAAAGACAAGGAAATATTGCCACGAGATTTCGTCTAATGAGGAAACAATACTAGTGTGCTTGCATGCAATAATAAACAAGAAATGGAAGAATGCAATTATGCCAGGACGCAATATCAACCTGATATTTTCACATATTTGTGGGAGAATTTATATCAATTTATATTGAGTGCAATAGTCTATTTATGACTACAAACTTGCGTTGAGGAGAATGGAGTCAAAAACAAACAACTGTTCCCGTATCCTTGGTATTGCAAGTGAGAGATATTATGGTCACAGCAAAGTGATAGAAGTCAAGGTAAATACGCCATTAAACGTCACAACCAATACAAAGGCCCTATTGGTGGTTTGATAGTGCAGTAGCGCTTTGTAGTAATTGAGAAAGTACTGTGATAATATACTAAAAGTTCATCATTAGCATTTTGTGGTACCTATCGTTAAAAATTATTTAGAATTCACACAGTTTAAATGTCTCAACACTGAACTCGTTAACTAAAGTTTGACAAGGCCCTCAACAATTTAGTTCTAAATTGATTCTAGTTACTGATTGCTTTGATATGAAAATCGTTGTGAAAGACCAACATGTATGTCAGCATAATGTGTTTGTAAGAACACGGCACACAAGCTTTTGACATGAAAACAAATAATTAATTAGTTTGTAGGTATTCACGCGCCATAATTTCATCAATAGTGTTTTTTAAAGACATACAAGTTATTACCTGGAGCTACATTATTTAAATAATTATCATACTATTCACAGTAGGATGGAATACCGATGCACTACATGCATTATTCAAACCATGACCTGGATTCGGCCTACTAAACGTCCTATTGGTATCCCATTTCTACATTTCCATGCTAAATGTAGTGAATTAGCGTGAATAACTGTGTTCAAGTCTCGTAATATGTTTCTACGCATTTACCAATTTCGCACTTGTCCCCTTTATATCCAGTATTGGTGCAGTTACAGGTGCTAGTTTCGCATGTTCCTTTATTGATACATTTCTCTGTAGCGGAACACGTTCCATAGACGCCATCTAGAACTGCCCAGCATGTTAAAACTGAGAATAGAAAAACAGATTAACATTTCATAATCTTTAATTGTTTATATTCAGAACTGTTATAGGCAACATTTTGTCAAAGTGTAGGAAGAAATATAACCACAATTTCAACTGCTTTATAACTGTTATCTTATACATTCATTACTTAATATCACTTCTAAGTATTTGTATTTATCGTATTTTCCTTGTTTCGTAAGCGCAACAATTATTATTGGACATTGAAAAGGAAATAACTTGTCATGACTTCTAACTTACCCATTAAAGGTAAGAAAATAGGAACTCTGAACAGCTGCATGTTCTTTGCCTTCTTCGTCCGCTCTCGAATGTCTACTGAGCGTTTACCCATATATATCATGCCGTTGTCATAGTGATAACGTCATGCATGTGTATTGGCGACGGGTGAGGGTGGAGATAAACAAATAAGCACTGAGACACCTACTAAACATGTCAGGGCTTGGTGTTTTCAGGATTTCGTAATGTATTGCTGCTTTAATATCTTATCTGTAGCTAAACTGTAGGTTGTCTTTTTTTCTCAAGCCAGACATATCTTTACCTCGATCCGCAAAACTAAAACGTTTCTTAAAGTCTGTCACATGCTGAGGCATAACTAACACTGTCTGTCAACAGGGAGATGATATGCAATACATGACGCCTGAATATAATTGGCGAGGAAAATGTTCAAATTAGGAGAATCGATTGCATAGAATTATAAGCCTGATATTCATTTATCGTAATTTACAATACAATGCAATTTCGAATAATGTATAGGCTCTGTGTCTCTGAATACCTTAAAATAATAAAGATTTGGGTGGTGGCACATCTTCATACTCACATATGATTTGTCCGGGTTTTCAAATCCGAATAAGTAGAAATTAAATAGAATATAAATCGAACATATCACGGTGACCATTAAATTAACAAATACGTCAACTCCCCAGTCCTTGCTGTAGTTTGGTCACGTGGAATATCTGAACCAACTATGGGTGTTAAGGAGAATTGTTGTGATTACATATTACTGAAATACAAGTAATATTTATTCCCGAAATACCACTAGTGATATCACTAGCAGTGGTCCCTTTGCAGGTACAGCATAACAGAGTGTGCTTTCAAAATTCGTGGACAAAGTATTCTTGTAAGATTTGTGATTTGTGATTGGTTATGTCTTTCGTTTCAACAAATACATGTTGCAATGATGAAATGAGTTATTAACATATTCTTGGGACAAAGCGGTAACCGTATATGGACTATTATCAAAGAACAGTCGGTCTCGACTAGAAATTTTGATATATGACTTAGACCTTTTTCCTGCAATCAGACTCTAATAAGTTAGAGGCCACATGTTGCTGATATGAAATTTGGTAACAAGGGAATTGGTACCTTAAATTTAAGAACCATTCTCAGACAAAGATCAGCACCCTCAAATGTCCGCAGTGTTTCAAATTTCAGGTACAACAAACAGTATCATTCTGTCGTGTTCAACGTGTGAGGATATGGAGCATATAGTGTAAAGTCAGTTATTTGTGTCTGCCAAAATGCAGCATGCAGCTAAGTGAGGACGTATCTAGACTTACTGGTCCTGTCATTAAATCACCGATTTCTGCAAGTCAGGATGAACTCACGAGGTAAGATCGACGTACATTTACATGATATTACAAAGAAAATACATAACGTCTGTATTAAAAAGAAGGATGTTTCATAATCACAACTCTTTACCTTTCACAACATACCATCATGTCTTTATTGCTACTCCTGTAACAACGGTGTATTTTTAGCACCATTTCCCGGACTCAGTCACGAGTTTATTTATCTTTTTGCCTCACATGAGGTACATGTTTTCTTCAATATTATGGGAAATAACCCACAGTAAGACGTATCTTAAGCCTGTACAAAACTGTTCTCCACAGGAGGTACAAATGCCATCGTGATCACGACTGTTGAATGAGTCATGCCGGTGGTGCCTAGCTATGATATGCGGTCGGTATCCAAAGACAAATATCATTAATGACAGAGGGTGTCAAGCTATTTGATTAACAGCACGGACAAGTGGCAGAAAAAGGAAGATCTACCTACGCAAATCTTGATTTAAGAATCTATACCTGTGGACTCTACGAAACAGCAGTGTTTCAAAACACTGAACAAGTTCAAGTACTCAATACCTTCCCCGTTAAAGAAACATGTTGAGACCAGTGACAAGATTATAAAAGTACCGGTACTTCAGACAGGGTTAAAGGAGAATACAAGAACACGTGTAGATGAATTCTCCTCACGCTAAAATTAAATTATAAATTACATCATTGTTTCGTCCTACATTTCCAAGTTGAATATGGTGTGAAATGTTGAAACATGATGAAAGATATTTCTGTATGATAATGAAACTTTGTATATGACTTTGAAAGATGTTTCTGTTGGGAGTGACCTTGAAATGTTGACGGCCTAGATGATATGATATAAGACGTTATTCAAAGTTATGGTGTATGCAGCGATAATCAATAACGTCCTCATTAACCAACCAGCAGCCCATGTCACATCACTTAATAACTTCTACAAGGAGTTTCAGGTTCTTATTTTGTTAATACGTACACATATCAAACACTATATTTTCTGAAAAGCAAATTCACTTTGTCTGAATTATTGTGTTAGCATTGGAAAGTATTACATCATTAAGTGCAATACAGGAAGTCACGAATTGGCGTGTGTCCAATAGAATTGAGGTTAGAAGGAGGAATTCTCATATAATGTAAATGTATTCAAAGAGCGACCAATAACAACCAACCTAAAAGCATTAAGCTGTCTAGCATAGTACAGTTTGGTTGAACTAATATACGCCTAAATAATTTGAATTAAATAATGCTATGGTAATATGTTTCCAAATAGTTTAAAAAGAAATCCCCATCAACAGTAATACATGTTCAGAAAGACTATCCCTCAACCACTGACGTTCGATCTGGCGACAATTGCCCTATTTCCATTAACTTCACTGCCCATTGCAGCTCAAATAGTCCAACTGACTTTGGAACCGAAGTGACGTTTTGCTGACCGGTGGCAGGGCATTGCGAGGGAAGATCGTTATGTAAACTATGCAAACAAAATGTAATGGGAGATGAGTTTCATTACATCTTTAGATGTGAAGCTCTTCTCCCAACTAGATTATTGTATATACCAAAACTATATTATCAATACTCAAATGTTTATAACCTTTGTAAAATATTGACACCAAAATGTACAAAAAGAACTAAAATGCCTGTCGAGATTCATAAATATTTTACAAACCCTGTTAAGAAATAGTCACTAAGACGCATGTATTATGTGTAATATAACTGTTTTGTGTCTTGCTCTTGTACCACAAGTAGGTGGTTTTGGAGTCAATAAAGATTGATTGATTGATTGATTGATTGAACGACCACATTTGACAATCAAAATAGGCTACGTCATTGCGCAATCGTTTCACGACCGTTACGCCAACCAGTAAGACACTGTTTCGGTTTCGCGTGACTGTCCAGACCAAATAACTCATGGACTGCACTAAAGAATTAACGACATTTGTCTTTGATGACACATATTATGTAGACAGAAACAGCAAACTGCAAATTCCCATAGTGTAATGACACCAACAAGGCAATTAATAAATTCACAAATTATGACTACAGTATGATTTAGCAACAATTATAAGAAAGTGAACGGAACAGAGTCAGATTCACAACTGGGGTCACCTATGAATACAAATGGTATAATTATACATATAACTGGATAACTGGAAAATGTTTGTTTAATATTTATTAAACGTAATTGCTTGGTATTTAAACAGATGGTGTACTGGATTGACACTGGTGTAATTTTCCACAACAAGAAGATATAATGATAAAATCACAAAACTATTCAAATCTTTGTACCATCAGTTGTTGATAGTGATTCAGAACACTTTAACAAAGCTGGACTTTATGAAAGAACTCACAGTGTCAACTGGAGAGTAAAGATCTTGACATTGCTTTGAAATGTTTGACCAATCCAGATTAATTAATAAAATCAGACAAAGGCAACATGGACCATATATGAAACATCCTGACAAGGGAACTGATGTTTTAAATGATACATTAAGTTTCGGCGAACATATGGATTTTATTAATGTTTGCAAATTATTTATTTTTCAGCCACAGACTGTTGTGTTAAACACTGTAAATAATGACGATCTGTCTGTATGGGGCATATTAATAATATTCATAAATATCACATATACTGCCATTACTACCACAATACAGTGTACTTTTTAACTAGATATTTCGATATAAGGAGAATATATCCATGCAATATACCTGCCGCAGGCAAATACAGATTCGAAAACTAAAGTGAGATAAGGGATCAGTTGGTGCACGCACAGCTTATAGAATCAAGTGTTAAGTCAGGAAGGCATAGAGGTGCACTTCAAATGAATTATTCCCAAAAACCTCAGTGAATCGATTCGAGATTTATAGTCGTAGAACAAAGGTTACAGGCCCTAGCTTGATAATACCAGGGGATTTTCCGTGCACATGGTAATCCACAAACGGTAATAAAACATTCCAGTCCGACACCTGTAATCTCCTGAGACTCTTCAAAACAGAAGTTTTCTGTCAAGCGTCGTAGCCTCTAAGACATGGCCTTACTGTAAACACTCTTTGTTAAGCATGGGGAAAGTTAGTTGCGTCCAGGAATAATGTGTGCATGATAATTTTTTCAGTACGAAAGTACCGGGTCAAATGAAGGTATCCACTTGACAACTGTATGTTCTTGTATTGATTTGCAGCTCCTAGTTTTTTAAAGTAAACAACAGGCAAAACCTTACGTGCTGTCCTTTAGGAGCAACCGACCGACAAGCAAATTGAGTCTTTTTAAAATAAAATATGGTGATCTTTCGACAATCTAAAATCACAAGTCGTCACAACAAAGCTATCTGGAAAGGCAGAGTGGACTCTTTAAATAACGGCGATGTACTTTTACATGATGTTACAAAATGTTTGGGTGTTTTTCTAGAGGGAAATATATCCATTCTTTAATGACACTAGAACTCTTAAGTAGCCAATTTATGTCTGTCTTCCAATGTTCTCAGGACCACGATTAAATCTGCTTTGTGATAAACATGTGACCCTAACGAGACGTAACTTAATAGAATACAAAAAAGATGTTCTTCACAGGACGAACAATTCAGTGGGCCACAGGCGCTGAATATGCTGTGTTGTGTCCAGCTGTGATTTTGTGATCGGTTTCCCAGACAAATTTCAGCATGCATGTGATCAATGATCATGCAAAAAAGCTTGGAAACTAAGTATCGACCAAGTGGTAGGAGAAGGTAGGCGATAATGATATCCGAAACCTTGATTTAAGATGTATTTTGTCACTAGGACGAGGTTTAATCCTGCACAAACAACAACAGAGGATATGGTTGTGCCCTCTAAAGCTTGACAGACACGGAACATGTTAAAGGACTTGATACCTTCCTAGTAACTGAAGACATGTTGAGGTCCGTGATAAGGTTATGAAAGTGCATGTATTTAAGACAGGATAAAAACGAAAAGACACAATCACTTGTGACTTCACGTAATACAATTGATAAATCAATTTGTTTAACGCTTTCACATCACCAAAGAATATTGGTAATTACGTTTGATTTTGTCAAAATATACCAATGAACCTAGAAGCTGAATTATAAACTGAAACCCCCCCCCCACAAAGGTTATTGATCATTTATCATAAAAGCACATAGATCGAAACTATTACTATTTTCTAAAATTTACAAATTGTATGTTTGGACTGAAAACAATCCCCAATCACTTTTAGACCAGATAATTGGCACATGTGCCCCAGTTGTCTAAGGTTAGCACTGACGTGAAAGTGAAACTAGGTAACTTTGTGTCAACCAGCAGAGTAGTTCTTCATCGCTAACATATAACTCTGGCATGATTCTTCATCGCAGTAAGCATA